CAAATTCAAATTTCTTAAAACTTATTACTTTATCCTTATGTAAAACCATATTTAAGCGTTCTGTAGCTATGAATGTTATAAAATCAAGGAATTGATAATAATCCATTCCAAACGTAGACCTTAATATCAATTGACACTGTTCTGGCCAATCACTCATATCTTTACAATCAGAGACTTCTTTCATTACAGAACATAATTCCTTCTTAAGTCCATGCCATACATTCATAATATTGCACCCATTGATCCAATTATGATTAATAGATATTGTATCTTCCTGTCAATAAAAAGGTCACAAATTACATACTGCTATTTATAAAACATTTTTAAATTGATAGTATCCGCTCACAAGACTTACTAGATTCCAAACTTGATGATGCCACCCAGTTGGTACAAACATAATTTCTCCAGGTTGCTGAACTACATCGATATACTTTATTGTACGTTTATCGTAGGCTTTATATTTTGTATAATCGTTAAGTTCCTCAGATGTTGCATCATATATTAATTGGCCATGAATATCACGTAAAAAGTCTTCTTGATGAGGAGGAAAAAGTAACCAACGTTTTTTCCCAATTACATTTGCAGACCAACTATAAGACCCGAACACATCTGCGTGTAATGGTGTCCTAAACAAGAAAAAAAGGTTTTTCTTTATGAATAATCCTCAAATTATGATACTGATTACTCAAAAAATATGTTTTACCATGATCCGCTTGGTCCCATATACACGAACCTATAGTCATCATCCAAATCAGGATTTGCAATATAGTATTCATTTAACCAGTCAGATGCAAAGTACTGGGGAACGTTGTACATGGGAGCATTAGGAAATAATCTTGGACAATGCCAATCTTTTAAATATAAAAGTGATTTATCGTCTGAATAGTTACTTTTCACGTAATCCATCCAATAATTTAAGTAATCTCTCATTTGCATGTCATCTTTGGATTGTGAATTGTAATACTTCTTATTACAATCTGCTACCGGCACTGCATAGTTACCTATAAAATAACAATTTCAATTAGAATTATATGGTAAAAACTAGATCTGTTTTTACAGAGGTAAAAGGAAGAAAAATGATCATAATTTTAATATTAGTAATTACATCTAAGTATACAATGACTTCAAATGCAGAAATAATCAAAAATATTAGTAAGAGAAAAATACAGAATATTTAAAATTATTCTGTTTGCCAATTCCATTTAGTTTTTGATCTTTTTACTTTCTAGTTTCTTAAAATTATAAAATGTTAAAAACATTCATATCAACCGGTATACAAATGGTGATATAACAATAATATTAACTTCTTGGTAGTCTATCCTGGCACACTGCCAGAACAAGTTATTGTATTCGGGCTCCTTTCCGAAGATTATTGGGAAAAGAGTCCTTCCAGCAGGCAGGTTTTATGTCAGAAATGCATCAGCTATGGCTTGAAACTGTCCCTCCTGGTAGACAGTTCCTTACAATGTATTATCAAATAAAATGATATAAATATAATACATTTTATAATAGTATTATAAATTGATGATGATTTTACATAAACATAAATGTGTGTGTGTTATAGTAAACACAGTTAACATTAATAAGAGAGAGCATTAGTTTCTCAACAATATTCTAATGAAACTGTCTACAAAATTAATAACTTCCCAATGTACATAGATCAAAACTGTAATATCAAGCAAGCATATCTTGCATAGTAACAAAAATGTCTTTTTTAATACTACATTATAATGTGTAAATATTTACCAAACAATATTTCGAGAGCATCAAAATCTGGTGCATCATCCACGCTCCATTGTCTTCTGCATGACCAATTCTCTGTCACTTTTGAATCAAATATACACGGCTTATTTGGAATTAAATAATTCGAAAAAAATTCATCATATGTCATTGATGGACTCACACGATCGATCCAATCAATTGTATCGGTATTTCGATCAAGGGACAATTTGTTTCTTTTAATCTCGAGTGCTTGCAACATTGTGCGGTTTTGTTTATACTAAAGTTAACGGCCAAACTTCTTCATATTTTTATATAGGATTAGGCCTCAAGACTCAACGGTAGTGTGTAGCTGTTTTTAAAAACTCATGATGCCGTTTTTTTAAGCAGTACAATGTCACATGCACTATTTTAAAACCACCTTGACGTTTTACCAAGTTATAACCGCACATGTTTTATGCAATATTATATTTTCGATTGTTTGCAAGAAACCACCATGTAAATAGATGTTCATTGGTTCATTCAGCCCTGAATTCAAGTGTATCACAGATATTTATGTACACACATCTACACACATGCATTCATACATACATACATACATACATGTGTATGTACATAGTCACAGTGTGCACAAGAAATACAAGAGGAGAAACTTCAGATTACGCATTCGATGCAATGTCATCGCATGCAGGTGACACTGCAATCCGCGTCATAAAAGTTGTATCGTGTTGTATCATAAGATGGGAATGCAGTTTTTCGTAGTCTTTCTCGGTAGATAAAAACGGAGTGGGCAACCTTAAATATGTTTATATTCATCGGTGCAGCCTCTGCCAAATGCCAAATGACGTAACGCAATCTTTACATGGTGTGGATTCACATCACTGTGTAAGACTACCCATAGTGTGAACTTGATCAACATTTAAATAATTTTTCAAGTCTCTAGTTCAAGCCAAGGACAATTAAAATACATAAACTAAAAGTTCTGAAACGTTCTCAAGAAGAGAAGAAAATTTGTTTCCTAACAGGAAACCAATGAAAAGAGCATGCACTTGCATAGAAGTTGAAAGTTAAAGACGTCTCTCTGCTCTCTCTCCTATAGATACACGTTATAGTTTATGCATGAATATGCAATATCAAAACAGGACTGTAAGGGCGGCGTACGAAGAAACATACAAAAATATTGAAATAATCGCATTAAATGTGGAGTAACAATGAGAATGGCGCACAACGAAAAGAACGTATCAGGGCTCGTGCCTACGAGCAAAAATAAAATTTGACTGATTAGTAATTTAAAGAGTAATCAACCGGCACAGATTGTGCTCGAAGACGTCAATACAGTAGACATTTATTATATTATTAGTTGTAATAGATTCGTAAAGTGGCTCTTCAAATCGCTTCCTAGAATTTCTATGTTTAAATCTTTTATATATATGGTACGTTCAAGTATCAATGTGGATGAAATTAAAAAAGGAATGTATATTGATATCATTGATAAGTCTATCAGCTGATTGTCATTTATTAGAAATATTTAAAGGATGCATAGTGATGAGCTCTAAATTAAATCATTTATATAATCACTGCGGTAACAAGTATTACAGTTCAATTGATATTTCATGAAGTTTTCTTGGGGGTGCAAATAAGGCAGTGATATTGACAAGTCTCATGAAAGAATGGGAAATAAAAGTAGTTGCTGTGTCTATTCTAGTCCGCAAGTCGGACGTAAAGAAAGAGTGTCTGAAGGTGTTACTCGTGGACTTGAGGAACACTTACCTGAATGTGGAGTTAGCAGTAATAATTTGCAACATATTAGCGAACGTGAGCCAGAAGACTGGGATTCAGATCCATCGTTACATCCATGCACTGGTACTATTTTTATGGAACGATCAAAACAAGCTATTGAAAGTATGTATTGTTATTACTTCCACATGTTTTATACAATTATTGTTATATGATTTGGTTTTAAGTATATAACAATAATGATAATTGTTAATAGCAAATATCTCTGACATTATGAATAGTTTTAGACCTATTTTTTGCTTATAACGGAATCTTTTCTAGGTGGCATGGTAAGGAAAAAGAGTCAGCATCAAATTGCCGACACAAGGCCTTTAAAAAAGAGTAGCAGTTGTAGTACAATATATTTAGACAACAGTACTGTTTCGCAACCTAATCTTAAAAATACTGTGAAATGTGTTGCCTTAGCTGTTTATTATCACATAGAAAACAGAACCTCACAACGACAAATCGATATATTTGATGAAAAACTCCATCCATTGACGGTATAAGTCGAATGTGTATATTTATTTTAATATATACATAGCGAATTTATTAATTTGATTTCTTTATCTTTTATAGCGAGAAGGAGTTACAGAAGATTATGATAAATATAACCCAGAACACAAACAAATATATAAATTTGTGAGAACATTATTTACCGCTGCTCAACTTACAGCTGAATGTGCCATTATAACGTTAGTTTATCTGGAACGCCTACTCACATATGCCGAAATAGATATAACGCCAGCTAATTGGAAACGGATAGTACTTGGAGCTGTTTTACTAGCATCGAAAGTATGGGACGATCAGGCAGTATGGAATATAGATTATTGTCAAATTCTCAGAGATATTACTGTAGAAGATATGTAAGTCAATGTTTAAATCCTAAATAATGATAAATGTTTGTAAAACAATTTTTAATTATCACCCGATATATTCATTTAGGAATGAATTAGAGAGACAATTTTTGGAAATGCTACAATTCAATATAAATGTTCCTTCGAGTGTGTATGCTAAATATTACTTTGATCTGCGCACACTAGCAGAAGCAAATGAACTAACATTCCCTAGTGAGCCACTCAGTAAAGAAAAAGCTCAGAAATTAGAAGCAATGTCCAGAGTTTATGAAGATAAAGTCACTGCTGAAGCTTTACGTACTGGTAATAAAAAATGGTCCAGCTTAGATAATATATGCATAGGGGGACCTAGACGTAGCATTGCTATCTTATCCTAAGCTTTGGATACAAGCGAACACATTGTTTATATTCATTACTTCTGAATTAAGGTATGTAAACAAAAAAAAATTTTGCAGACCTATTACACTACAATATCAATGAATTTTAAAAGTTTTACAAGCATATCATTTTTATTATTTATTAATCGTTTATATGTTCAGCTTAAATATTTTACTACAATGCATGTTTTATAAAAATTATTCAACGAAACCTTTTATTTTTATAACTTATTCTATATGATTGGCTTTATAG